GTGACAAATTCTGGTCTGTGAAGTAATTATTAGCTCCCACCTCACACACTAAGCTATTCTAGTTATTCCCACATGATCATATATACTTTTTGAACCCAGGAAAAGGTAAGGGTGGAGCAACATAATTTTCACCTAAAGTCTACAGGGACCCTAATTCTAACATTTTAAGAGCCTTGGAATTTTGTAACTGTACAAATAACACTTCTACACAACTATCTTAATTATAAACCAAGAGTTGTTATTCCTACCTGTTTATGCTGTTCTCTCTGCCTGGAAAACACTCAGTTTACCTCCGCAGACAGATTTTAAGGTCCAACCTAAAGGCCACCTTAATACTTAAGCAGAAGTAACTGCTTTTCATTGATATTCCACAATACCTTACCGTACCTCTATGACGACATTATGGCAAGGGAATAAACTCACTGGCTTACTCCTGTCTCACGATGTGCTTAATAAGGAAATGGGAAAGGGCGAGTCAGGGGAGTCATCTTGCTGTACCCCTCATGTTATCTAATAGAGGAAACTGTTTTCTTCATTCTTATCTCTTCAGGAGCTAACATCAAGCTCTAAATAGATGTCCAAGAGGCAGTTATAGCTGAAATGTCTCTAGAAATCTGGTGTATTGTTCAGAAAGAACCAAAAACTAAACTTAATTTTAAAATGGCCTACCACCCCAGTTAATCAAAACTCATTCAGCTAGAATGGCAATTTTGAAGATGTAATAAATGGGTAATCCCTCCGTTTAAAATGAAACTTGTCATATTCCTCTATAACCCATTTCTCATTGTGTGATCTTGTTTCTGTAATGGTTTAACCATTCTTCCTTTCTCAAATTTAAAATGCAGTCACCTCTTCCTCACATAGTTTATTGCTAACTCCATCTCTCCTACTAAACACTCTAATCCTTTCTGATTCCATTACCACTACTCTTGTCCAGAATTAATTCTCTAATGCACTATTTTAATAGCCCCCTGACTTCTCGCTATGCCCTCTATCTGCTAGTTCAGGTTACATATACATAATCGAGACTCATCTTCCTGTAAAGCAAGCTCTTATCTCGTTCCTCCTCTCAACAGCTTGATAGGTTCCCACTGCCTCCCAAATAAAGCTCCAATTCTTAAGTGTGCACAGACATCCGTATCTGTATCCAGCATCATTTCATATTAGCCCATTTCACATACCAGCCCCCTCATGTCATATCAAATTACATCTTTTTTCACTGACAAATGCACCTGATTTAAGCTTTTCCCCATTATGTTCCTTGCCATGGAAGGCCTCCCTCCTCTCCCTTCCTTCAAAAGACATCCCCTGCATGAGTATTTCTCTTCTACAGGCAATCTTGCCCCCAAAGGACATTTGGCAATGTTTGGAGACAGTTAACACAACTGGATGGGGGAGTTATAGGCTAAGAGTGCTGCTAACTATCCTACAATGCACAGGACAGCCCCCCACAACAGAGAGGCATCTGGCTCAAAATGTCAACAGTGCTGAAGTTGGGAAACCCTCTTCTACAGATTGTTCACTTATCCTGTCATATACAAGTAACTCCTCCATTCTATGAAAAGTCCTACTGTAACTGTAGGATGTATTTGTCCAATGTTCCATGATAGCTATATTTTATATACGCTATCTCCTCCCCCTTACACCCCATAATGCTTTTATTCAAAATTATTGACCGAGCGTCTCATGTCTATTAGGCGGAAGGCCCAGATAGTAAGCACAAGGACAGGTCCCAATTATTTTTATACACTCCCTAATGTCTTAGAAGTTGTAGGTAATAATAATTTGCTGCAATATTGAGGGCAATTCTCTCTGCACTTCACTTTGCATCCAAAAACTCAACAACTCTAATACTGATTTGCAGAGAGGGTTACCTGCTGACATCTTGTAAAATTCAAAATAGCCCTTTCCAAGTTTCTCCTTAAAAACGAAATTAACAGGTGCTCCTACTGGACATACTGGACAAGTTAACAATAACAATACAATATAATGAAAGCTCTAACAGTTAAATATAAATATTAGGCTGGTGTTGTTCAGTGGTTGAGCGTTGACCCATGCACCAGGAGGTCACTGGTTCGATTCCTAGTCAGGGCACATGCCCAGGTTGTAAGCCCGATCTCCAGTGGGGGGGCATACAGAAGGTGGCCAATTGATGTTCTCTCTCATCAATGTTTCCATCTTTCTCTCCCTCTCCCTTCTCTCTCTCTCTAAAATCAATAATGAAAATAATAATAAATATAAATATTAAGTAACTTAATAAAGTAAAAAAGAATCTTGACAAACTTCCAGCATGCAATAAAACATGGTTGGCTCTTTATATTACCTTATTATTTTGATTTTTCCAATAACATATTTTAGTTTTTTTCTGAAATAGATAAATACATACATAAATAAATAAATAACTGCTGGAGAATACCTTTTTAAGCTGTGGTTACGGGTCAAAGGTTACAGTCCAGGTGCTCAACTAAGTAAATGAGAACCTCTGCTCCCTTCAAATTTCACATATTTGTCTGCAACTGAAAATAAAAGAGGTGAATAAAGATGATCTCTAAGGTCAAAAGGGAAAGTAATGTGAAAACGTACTATAAACAAGGTGGAGTCCTGCAAATATTATCAGTCCTCAGCACAACACAGAGGAAAGTACATGGTCTCCTGCAGACGAGTTGGAGTCTTTCCTGACTAGCTGTGTGGTTCTGTGGGAATTAACTTACACTTCTAAGCACCATCATAAAATAAAAATGTTAGGATTAATGTGAGAATTAAAGCCTAACATTTCCAAAGTGCTTAGTAGATGAAGAGCTACTATAGTTTTAATATTCAACAAAAATCCCCTTGCTGAAAATCCCTTCAAATTACTTGTTGCAACCAGAAGAAACTAACCTCTACATACAGACCCACAGAGTCTTACAGGATCTGCTTCTACCTTTTTGACCTCTTCTCCTACTGTCTTTCCTGCTCAGCGCCCTCTAGACACCCTTCAAGCCTGGAACAAGCCAAATCTTTGTCTTTTCGTCTGCTTTTTGTGCAGATCTTTGCATTGACAGCTAAACATTCAGATCTTGATCCAAAAACTCAAAAAGCTTCCTGACCACCCAAAGTCATTATTCGATGCCCATTCTCTACCCCGTTTCGTTATGTATATTCCTCTTTCATTCACTGAAATTAATTGCCAATTTCTCTCCCATTAGTATGTAAGCTCTCTTAAGGGCAGAACTTGAAGTCTTTTCAAATCTGTATCTCCAGGACCTGACACAAGGGCGAGGCTATGGAAGGCGAGACACATGATTAATGGTGCAAAATTTAAGGGGAGGACGGGCTGCTCTGCCTATGCAGTAGCCTTCTCTCTGTCCCACTCCTTCCCTAATAAACTCTCACTTTAAACTTTTAAAAAATATATTAAGGGGATGCCCCACATTTCAGTAATCAAGAAAAATATGAATTTAACACAACATTCTACAATACAAAAATTAATGCAAAAAAGCCATAATGACCTAATTATCAAAATTTTACATTAAAACGGGCTCCACGCTGCTTTGGCATGGCTGGGCTCTCATCCAGATCCCTACCCAGCCGGATCCCGCCTGCCTCACACAAGACTTGCCACCGATTCAGTTGAGCCACGTATTAACTCTCCCTGCGGCCACCGAAGGGCAAAAACTAAAACTGCTAAACACAAGTTACAAGGATTCGGATTACTGGAGTTTATAACCTGTGGCTTCATTGCGCTAGAGCCAGAGCTGAGTCCAGGGAAAGCTTTGTCGCTGCTTAAGTGCACATTCAAAAAGTGACAAAAAGCTCAGCAAGACTAGTGGTAACACTGTAGAACTGGTCCTCGAAGCCCTAACAATGAATACTTTCACCCATCCCTGCATCACTAGCAAATCATTCCCTCGGCAGGAGCCCCAGCCTCGGGGTGTGGAGAGGGAACTCCCCGGCAGGACGTTTATTTATTTGGAGCGGGATTACCGTCTCTTGCGCTTGGCCCTGGAAGGAGAGAGAGGAACAGGAAAACCCCGCGAACAGATACAAACTTACTAAGTTTAGGGCCGGTACAAAATAATGGCAGGAGAAATGTGGTTGAAAATAATAAAGACGTTTGCAAGAAATAAGCCCCTTTCCACCCCACCCTCACGCCCGCCGGAAGGCCCCGGCAGGTTCCGGCTCCTGGTCTCCCGCCACCGCCTAGGCGGGACCAGGTAAGCGCGCCAGGAGGAGGCTCGACCCACCCACTGCCCCTAGTTCCTCCCCCTTCCCTCCGAGAGAATCGCGGGGGACCCCAGCGCGCAAGCGCCAACCCGCCAAGTCGGTAGCAGCCTCCCGCCAAAAGCGCCTGCGCAAAAGCATTGGGCTGGCGGAGGGGCTTAACTAGGAAGTAGAGAGGAGCGCGCCCAAATCCTAGAGAGGCGGGCTGAGCGGGGCTGGGGGGAGGGTTCGTCTTCCGGAAAGTCCTTATTCCCGGACGACTAGGGTCGCCGCTCAGCAATCACCCGCTTATAAGATGATGGGAGAAAGTTGGCTACACTTTGCATCCATCGGGGATCATCACAGAGAAGCGAGAGCTGCCTTCAAGATGAAATCGGGACTTGCAGCCGGCCGGTTCCCACAGCCGACGGACGGATGGCGGGTGGGCGCGTGCGTGGTAGGCAACCTCCACGTGTGTCTGGGCCACCGCATCCCGGCTGTCCGAGGCCCCGCCCCCGGCCTCAGCATCCTTCCGGACGCTCGGAGCCGGCCTGGAGGAGAGAGGGCCGGCCTCACAGCTGGCCCCGCCCACACAGCCTTCCATTGGACTTGGGTGAGGACTTCCCCGCCCACTGCCTTCCTATTGGGACGCGCGTGCGAGCGGCGCGCCCCATTGGGCCGTGCGGATTTGGGCACCAAATTCAAAGATTTTAAAAGTACCAGCTGGCGCCTTTTAGGAGACAGAGCTCCGAGAGGCCCGCGGGCAGTTCCTCTGGTGGCTCGCTGGTGGCTTACCTGAGGACCCGCATTCCACTGGCATGAGCCGGCGCGCCTGCAACTGCTCCCCACGTTCGTCCTCCCGCTCCAGCTCCTGCAGCTGCAGCGCCGTGACAGCTCCCAGGCACCCTGGTCCCTTGGACAGTGAGTGAGAGGAGAGGGCACGGGGGTGCGGGTTCCAGGAGAGGTGCATGCTGAGGGGTGAGGGGCCTGCGACCGGAGTCCAAGCTGCGGCCCCACGCTGGGCCCCGGGCGGGCGCCGGCGAGGGCTCCTGGGACCGGGATTAAGAATGCTGCGGTTCCGGGGAGGGAAGCCAGCGGGGCTGAGGCGGGTCGGCGGGCCCGGGTCCTGCCTGCCACGCCGAACCTGGACACCAGCTCCAAGGGGGTGCGGGTGCAGGCCTCCTAGGGCGCCCTCGGCCCTTGGGAGATCTGCCACCCCACCCGGCTGGAATGGGCGCCAAATGCCCCTCCCCTCCCCCACCCCAGCTGGGGCTCGGGCCTGCTGGGCCGCCCACCGGGCCTTGCCAGGTGCCTGACCCCCTACTCTCTGCGCCCCTCTTTCCACGTCGGACCCGCACCCTTAGATCCCAAGTCAATCTCCCCGGGCTTTTCGCCACCTCAGCCTTGCTGGCGGGCGCGGGAGATCTGCTCGCTGTTATCTCCCGCCTCCTCCACGGCCCGCGCACGCAGGGGCCACCCCGCGACCCCCCAGCAGCCCCAGGGTCTCCCCACCCACTCCCGCCAAATACAGGGACCCCCCCTCATCGAGCCAAACTGTCGGGACGTCCAAACAAAAACGTTCAATTTCTCTTTTCCCCCCTTTTACCCAGTAATTCAGTCTCAAGGCATGGAGTCAAAGGGAGAGAAGGAAACGAAAAACACCATTTTTTAGTACAAAACCGTGGATTTAACCATTTTGAGGTGATTTTGTGAGAACTGAAGAATTGTGTATGTGTTGGTTGTTTCTTTTTAACCGGTGCTCTTGACGCACTAGATAGTTTTTTACTCCAAACGTGGATGGAAGAAAAGCACTCAGATTAACGCTTATTTTTATCCTCTTTGTTACTGTCTCTAAATGAGATTAAATGCACGTATTTTAACTCAGAAATTACCAAGAACATTTTAAAATTAACAATTTGTTATTGTAATATTTGGTAATCTCTGGAAGATGCCCATTGCTTTAAAAAAGAAATATGGCAGAGGAGGGGGTAAAAAAAACTTAATTTTTACAGATCATACTTATTCCAGTGAAATTCTGAAGCTTGATGGCTTTAAGAAGTTCTTTTATTGTTTAATTCCAGGTGTCTCCACCGTCTTGACCCTAAAGAGAATATTTGCAATGTTCTTGAAATTTTTTCCTGTTGGTCAATTTGAGGAAATGAAATTTAAAAGTGTATTGCATTCCAGTATATTTAAATTTTAGGGATTATGGCTGATATGCAGTTTTGGGGGGCAAGACTTGGGGCTCTCTTAAATTTTTAAAGGAATAGCCACACCAAGTGTTGGACACATGGTGGTTACCCTAAAGGTATTGGAGATTGTAGAACTGAATTAACTTTGGAATAGCTGTAAAGATTCTTAAGCACTGTAGTCTATTTAACTAATAAGGAGTGTCAGATCTATATTGAAAAGTTAAATAGGTTATCCTTTGCACAGTTAACTAATAATGCCATCTTTTTCATTATTGGCCTGTGAGAGGTTTTAAAAATGCAGTATGTTGAATTGTATCAACTCCATGAGGGTAGATAGTAGTATCTCCATTTTAGAGAAAATGAAAGACTAATTGAATGTTCTAGGTCACAAAAGCTAATTAAAAGGCTGAGCAAAGATTTTCATTTGAAATTTGATACCATTCCTAAGAAAAGTATATAATATTCTGAAATGCATACATCTGTCTGAAGTGTATTTTGCTACTTATAAAATGTTCTTGTTACACAGTATGAGGAATATGAAGGGATTTAGCTTACGAATAATGTGATAAGTATACTGTAGATTCTGTTGATTAGACCAAAAGTGAGAGATATTCACATACATTTAGTCTAGTCTTATTTTCTTACCCCATTTCATAAATGAGGAAAGAGTTAACTTCCTCAGTTTTCCCCAACTCGACAAATGATGCTTTATACCTTAGATGCTCAAAACCTAAACCCCAGGGTATTTTTTACTCTACTTTCCTTCATCATCAACATCCAGTACATTAGCAGGCTCTGTTGATTTTTGACATTACCCTCCTAAAGAGATCTCACTTCTGTTCAGTTGTCTTCATGACCTCTGTGGTCGTCAAGTCTCAAGTACCCAACTCTGAAATTTTATGGTACACATTTCTAACTAGTCTCCCTGCTTTCACTTGTACCTTTCTACAATCCATTCTCCACAGCTGCCATGATATATTACTCTGTTTTCATCTTCATCTAAGGATATGCTTACTGATTTTAGGGAACACGAGAGAAACATCGATTGGTGCCAACTGGGGATTGAACCCACAACCTTTTGGTGTATAGGACAACACTCCAACCAGTTGAGCAACCAACATGGCAACTGCCATGATTTTTTTTTTTTAATGTAAACCAAATATCTCTCTAGAGCCCTTTAAAGGCTCTTTATTTCATTATGAATAAAACCCATCCTACCCTAAAGATCCGCTAGATCGTTCGGCCTCTCCAACCTTAATTTTCAGTCACCTAGCTTACTAAGTTGTGGCTCTACAGAACTTCCCTTTCCTTGAATACTCAACACTTGTCCTTGCTTCCATTATTTACCTGTCTGGAACTCCCCCAGATTTTCACAAGGCTTTTACATCTCAGAATGTTACCTCCAAAAGGTTCCTAATTAATTTTTTCCTCTCTCCACACCATGTCACTAAGTAGGCATTGGATGAATGAAGTGACAGAATTAGACTTTGAACCCTCATCTGTCTGATTCAAGGGGTCATGAAACCATATAATATTTTTTCCCCTTTCTGAATACTCAGATCAATTATATAAATACATATATTTTTCCATATTGTTTAGGGAAATTTGGCTTGGTCATTTGAAAGCACTGAACTAATTGAAAGATCAGAAATTAGCTTTTTACAGTCTGCTTTCAGCTTTCTTTCATATAAGTGTGGTACTTACTCTCTTTATTTTGCAGTATTATTAAAGTATATTACATAATTTCACATTTTAAAACCAAATTTACAACCAGCATCCAGATTTTGGAACCAATAAAATGAACCAGAGTTTCTTGGAGAAATAGCTGATTCTAGAGCTTAAACAGGGAAAATAAAAGACGAGCCTGGAAATCTTGGGCCAGAAAGTAAGGGAACAAAACAGTAGAAAGTATGTCAAACGGACATAAATTTACAGTGGCAAAGCTGGAACAATTTGAGCAACATGAATAATGTAGTATTAGATTATAACCCAAGGTCCATGAGTCTGTACCTTTATGTCATTGCAAAGACACTCTGAATTTACATTCAAGAAGAGTAATCTGTCCTTCTTAACTACTTATAAAATCTTTTTTTTTTTTTGGTATGTGCCTCTAGCAGGAACCGAACCCGGGACTCTCTGGTCCACAGGCCGATGCTCCAACTGCTGAGCCAAACCGGCCATGGCTACTTAATAAAATCTTGGGCAAGCTCCTTAGCTGATATTCAAGTGTCCTCACTTATAAAAAGAAGTTAATAATAATAATAGCTCTTCTACCTCAAAATGTTGTGAGAACCAAGTGTTTGGAAATAAATTGGGAATTGTAGACTTCTAAACAGTTATAAGGTATTTGTTCTAGATTTAAAGAACTGTTCCTATTCAAATGAAATTGTATGAAAAGGATAAGTTCCCTGTTAACTATGTTCTAACAACAAGCAGAAGAATGCCTTTGAAAAGAATTAAGAGTTTCTGAAGTATAATTTTAGACTTCTTCACTATAGGCAGCTAAAAAAGTAAAAACTGTTTCTTTGAAGGTGGCTTCTAGAGATTAAATGTGGTCCTATATAAATCATACTAAATTTACTTGAGACAAAAATATCTCTCTTAGAATATTTTACTTTTTTGGGGTGGAAGAGAGATACTCAGTAATTCGTTCAAGTTAAGGTTAATTTGGTGGTTAGGCTTAGTATGCTCTTTATTTACTTTCCATGTCCCAATCTTGTAGCTTAAACCTAAATTTTAGGGTTTAGTATAAGGTTTAGTGGGATCCTAGAGCACACAGTATGTCTTTCACTGTGTTAACCATTGGGGATTGAATGATAGTCTCTACCTACAAGTTTGCTCTCTATCAACATGTCCTTTGGTACTTTGTCCTAAAGGTTTTGCTCTAAATAAAGAATGGTAAAATTATTATGGATTACCAATGTTTAATGTAGATTAAACATACTGGCTGTTGTATACATTTACCTATAGGATAAGTTATTAGTACCTATGATTGGCTTGCAGTGGGGATAGTAGATGGGGGAGTGCACTTGAAGTATATATCTTTTGTATATTCTGCCTTCAATAAAGCTGAGCAATTTTTCTGAACCCATTACTATATTCCTTCCCAGTATAGTACCCTTGTTCACACTATCTTTCTGTGAATGCCCTCCCCAACCTCTACTACCTGACAACAATTCTAATCTTTTCAAGCAGTGTTTCTCAACTGAGTAATGGGGAGGATTTTGCTGCCGCTGCCTTCCCCCCACTCCCAATATTTGGCAGTGACTGGTGACATTTTTTATTGTCCTGCCTAAGGAGCAGTGGCTGCTAATGGCATCAGATGGGTAAAGGCTGCTAAATATCCTACAATGCCCTGGACACTTTCCAACAATGGTGAATTATCTTGTTCAAGTGTCAACAGTGTAGAGAATGAGAAAGTCTGCTTTCAAGATATTTTAACTGATTTCTAAGGCCTTGGGATGATGATACAACCTCTAAACAAGTATTTGACTATTTTGAGTTGTGCTTAAGTCAAAGGTGACTACAATGTCATTTCAAGTCTAGGGTATAAACACTGATTCTAGAAGAGTTTGATTACTATATTATCTCTGACCTGAGACCACTCTTGATGCCTCACATTTCTTTATTCCATAAACACAGATTTATTAAATAGTTCCTCTTTCACTATTTTTTAATCAATATAGACTATAAAAGTCAAACGTATTTATGCAGATCTAACAGCAGTCTATTTTGCAGTACCCTTTCATTTATTTATTTTTTTTGCATTTATCTTCAGATAGAGCAGGAGTGAGAGAGAGAGAAACATTGATGTGAGAGAGTCACATCGATTGGTTGCCACCCACACGACCCCCACCAGGGCCCGGGACAAACTTCATCCTAGGTACATGCCCTTAGCGGGAAATGAACCTGGGACTCACTGGTCCACGGGCCAACTCTCTAACCACTGAGCCAAACCGGCCAGGGCTATTTTGCAGTACCCTTTTAAGAATAAGAGATATAGCCCGGATCTATGTGGCTCAGTTGGTTGGGCATCGTCCCACACACAGAAGGGTCGCTGGTTCCATTCCCAGTCAGGGCCACATGCCCAGGTTGCGGGCTTGATCCTTGGTTGGGGGAGTGCAGGAGGCATCCGATCATTATTATGTCACTTTCACATTGATGTTCCTCTCTCTCTAACAACAAGAATGAGATATATAGTAATTTTCCTCATATTGTCATATCTCGGTAATTAAACTTGGATAACTTCACAGCTACTTAGTCAATACACATTGCTAACAGATGCAAAGTAATTACATCTTATGTCCAAATTTAAGAATGAAGGATATGTTGAAATTTTGCTATTAAGAAGTAAATATGGTATGTTCTTTTTATAGGTTGCAAAGAAAGCCCCATTCTTTCTGTCAAAATGAAGTGTGATTTTAACCAAGTTCATTCTGGACTTAAACTGGTAAAACCCGATGACAGTGGAAGGCTGGGTTGCTACACTTCTGCAAGTTTGGAAGGTTCGTATAAAGACTGCATTAAAGACTATGAAAGGTTATCAGATATTGGGTCACCGATTGTGAGCCCCAGGATTGTAGAACTCGAAACTGAGAGCAAGCCCTTGCATAACAAGGAAAATCAACATGTGCAACCAACACTTAATAGTTCAAATGAAATAGAAGAACTAGAAATCAGTGGACCTTATGAAGACAGTGGATATTCTTCATTTTCCAAAAAAAGTGGCCTCGATGAACACGAAGAGGTCAGCCTTCCCCTGGAAGAAACTTTCAGTGGCAGTCCACAGTCTTGCTTGCTACAGACTCAAAGCCCAGGCCAATATCCCAACAAAAACTTGATGCCGGCTCTTCATTTCGCAAAAGTGGTTTGTTCAACATTAAAAAAGAATGCCAAACGAAATCCTAAAATAGATTGGGAGAAGCTGAAGGAGTGTAATGTAGATTGGAGACTACAAAATGTAATTGGCAGGAAAATGGGCTTAGACTTTGTAGATATTCTCGGTGAACTCTTTCGAAGGGGACTCAGACATCTCTTAGCAAATATTTTAACACAACTCAGTGATATGGACTTAATCAAGTAAGTACTGTTGCTTTGAGTGTATGAGTATAATACACTAATGTATATATTTATGCTATTAGAAAACTATTTTTGTTAGATTGGAATCTTTGGGTTCTGAAATTTCTGTTATGTAAGCTACATCTTTCTGGCTGAAGTTTAAAAAACAGCCTAGTCCTAGTGTACAGGTCTGATAGGCATGATGACTTTTGTCATACTTGAAAATAAAATAATTTATGACTGTTTCTTAGAAACCTTACACTAACTGCCTTTTCTTCCTCATTCCACCAAAGAAAATTGGTAAGGATGAGGTGACTAGGAGAATTAAGATGGCTATACAGACCTGTTGGGTTAGATTGAATTCAGCTCAACTGGGGTCATTTTTGACTCTGAAAAATGTTTCAGAAGTACTCTTTGCAAGTGTTACTTTACAATGGTCTTTATAAAACTTAAAGCTAAAGCAAAACAGGTAAGTATTGATTTTTACTGTTGGCTAGCTTATTTAGAGATGATCAACATTACAAGTTGATTTCTATTAGCAGCGTGTCCTAGAGTACTTTGAAATCTGTCTACAACTTTTACCAAATAGCTAACATAGGGCCATATGTGCAACAGAGGTCACTTTATATTTGCAGATAATTGTGGGGGAAAAAATGAAGTACAAGTCAGTAGTTCTTAAGCCTGGATTCATTTAGAATTACTTGTTAGGGAGCTTATTTATTTATTTATAATAGTTTTTACTTTTTTTTTTTAAGAGAGAGATCGAAACATCGATGTGAGAAACATACATCGGCTGCCTCCTGCACGCCCCCTACTGGGGATTGAGCCTGGCAACTCGGACATGTGCTCTGATCTTAAATTGAACCAGGACCTCTGAGCCCATGGGATGATGATGCTCAGTCCACTGAGTCACACTGGCCAGGCAATGGGGAGCTTTTTAAAAAATATAGAACTCTGGCCCCTATTTTAAATCAGTTAAACCCAAATGCTAGGCATGAGGTATCCCTAAATAGTAAGTGCCTTGGGCAATTCTAATGTAAAGTCAAATTGGAGAAGCGATGCTAATAGAAATTTCTTTTTTGCACTGTTAATATTTCTGTAATGTGTTCATCTTAGCTCTTTCTGATGCTTTAATTGTGTTTTTCATAATCATTTACTTTTCCAGTGTGTCTAAAGTGAGCACAACTTGGAGGAAGATTCTAGAAGATGATAAGGGGGCATTGCAGTTGTATAATAAAGCAATGCAGAGAGTTACTGTAAGTCTTTGCAGTTGATATTTTCATTTTATTTATTTATTAATTATTAATCCTCAGCACAGGATATTTTTGTTTATCTTCAGGTAGAGTGGGAAGGAGGGAGGGGGAAGGGGCAAGAGAGAGAAACACATTGACTGGCTGCCTCCCTCACACCAGGGTCTGGGATGAGCCGCAGCCAAGGTACATGCCCTTGACTGGAATCGAACCCGCGACTCATTGGTCTGCGGGCCAACACTCTAATCGCTGAGCCAAACCGGCTAAGGCTGATGTTTTCATTTTAAAATATAGCAGCTAGTGCTCTTTACTATTTGAAACAGGAGGAAAAAAATAGGAAAGATAACAGGTAATCTGGAAATTCTTTATATTCAGAAAGCACTTCAAACTTTAGTAGCATTATACAATTTAAAAGTAAAGGGAAAGGAATCTCACCTCAATTATTTATTCTGAAAAATGCAAAGTTCAGAGGTAAAAGAAAGGGGGGGGGGTGGATTACTCAGTTCTCAGTGTGTGTCGCTCACACAGCGAATTCTAGGTTGCTATTTTGTGTATGTTTTTCAGTTACCAGATAAACAAAACTAAATTATTTACATACTGAAGATTCTTAATAGAAGGGAATTAATTTACTTTCAAAAATACTTCAAGATTGACATTTATACTTGACAATAAAAATAAATTAAAAAAATACTTCAAGATCAATATATAATTAAAATTTCAGACCTAAGAGTTGGCAGACATAGGTCCAAATTTGCTACTTACTAGCTGTGTTACTCTAGATTGGTATTGCTTTAATTCTCCAAGTGTAATTTCTTTATTGATAAGCTGGTGCTATGGAAATTTTTCTAATCTACAAGGTAGTATTGAATCTGTTCATGACACTGGTGACACTTCAACATGACTATTGCCATCTACTGGTAGTAAGAATAACTGTTCTGGCCGTACTTATAAACCATGTATTAAATGCTGTATAGACTTATGTCAAGTGCTTACAATTTTTTAACTGTTTATGTGAAAGCTTTTATATGGCTGTGTTTAAGCATGTGTAGGTGAATTGAAGTCCTATTAAAACTTTTTTTTTTATATAGGAAAAGAAGATTAAGTTTTCATCACATGCTTCAACCAGAGAATATGTTATGTTCAGAACTGCACTGGTTTCTGTTCAAAAGTCAGCAGCCAAGCCTGCCCCCAGGAACGATGCTCAAGGCAAGTTGTCCGATGCAGCTGATCAGAAAGGTTCTACTTACAGTCGGCACAATGAATTCTCTGAGGTAATTTTTTGTTTCTTGATAAATTAGAAACACGGGGCATTTACTATTAAAAGGATTTAGAGTAAGAAAGGGAGAACTTTAAGTTTAATCATAGAATAATTAGAACTCTTAATGGAGACCTCATCTTCTGTCCCCTTTTTTCTACTCTGAAATCGTTAGAAATTAGGAAACCATTTATAACTCAGCTAGTAGGTTGGGAAAGTATAGAGATGTCTTTCTATTCTGCAAATAATAGATACCATTTGGCGTTGTTTATGACAGTTTAGTGATGTTGAAATCTAATTTGGAAATACTAAGAAAATGAAAACCTTGATTTTAAAATTTCTTATAAAACTGTTCAATATTACATTCTGCACTTGCTGCCTTTGATATCTCAGGAAGAGAGCTAAGCAGAAAAAGGCCAACTTTCAGAAATTTAGGGCCTCCTATTAAACCTTCATGTCGTTAGGTAATGTGTATTATGAAAGTACTCATGGGGATAATTTTGTACACTTAATTTAAAAATCATGGTTGCCTGGCTGGTGTGGTTCAGTGGTTGAGCGTTGACCCATGCACCAAGAGGTTGCTAGCTTGATTTCCGGTCAGAGCACATGCCCAGGTTGTGGGCCAAATCCCTGGTGGGGGTGCATGCAGGAGGAGGCCAGTCGATGTTCTCTCTCATCAATGTTTCTCTCTCTCTCCCTCTCCCTTCCTCTCTCTCTAAAATCAATAAGGAAAAAAAATTAAACAAAAACCATAGTTAAAAGGGCATGTTTTGAAATAGAATGTTGACTACCTCATTTGTTGTTCAATGAATTTAAATTTTATGTAGTAAAATTTAGTTTTCTAGTTTATTCAAAAAGCATTTTTTGAACATCTGTTATCAGGTATTGCACAGATAAGAAAACATGGTAGTAACCTTCATAGCCTTATAATCTAGAATGAAAGAGCTACATTAAAGAAAACATATTATATAATATGGTAGGTTCTTTAAGAAACAACCAGAGGTAGAAGAGCAGCCAACTCCTGAGTGATACTAGGAAAGAAGTCTTCCCAAAAGAGGTGACTATTTAAGTTAGTCATTGATGTGTGAGTAGCATTCATGAAGGACAAGAACATATTTAAAAGTAGCCTAGGAAATTGTTACTGAACCAGCTGATAGGATGTATTATCTTTCACGCATTGAACACAGGGCAGGAGTTCTCTTATGTGTGACATGTATTAGGGAGGGTACAGAGTGCCATTCTTGTTTTTCCTATGTTACATTCAGTCTTTACTAATAATTTGTTTGTGGATTTTCTTACTAGGTTGCCAAGACTTTGAAAAATAATGAAAGCCTCAAAGCCTGTATTCGCTGTAATTCACCTGCAAAATACGATTGCTATTTACAACGGGCAGTCTGCAAACGAGACGGCTGTGGGTTTGATTATTGTACACGATGTCTGTGTAATTATCATACCACCCAAGACTGTTTGAATGGCAAGCCTCCAAGGGCCAGTTATAAAATGGGTCCTCTGCCTGGTACTAAGAAAAGCAAGAATAATTTACGACGATTATGACCTCATATTAATATCTATTATAACTTATTGTGAAGGTTAGTCAGAAAACAGTAGGTTTTAATTTAAAATATTAATAAGGATAAATGTACTGTGATTTTCAATTTTATGTTGAAATCAGTGTACTGCATGGGATTTTTTCCCCCACTAAATAGAGGATGCACAACCTCTTAAAATATTTTATAATTTAATGTGAAAAAGTTCAAGGTTCTCAGTATAAATCAGAAAATTTAAATATTTTAAGAAAAAAGAAAGCTAGTCATCTGATATTTGTTTCAGAGGTAAAATAAACTTGATTCAGTTTTATAGTAAAGGAAGGTCATGTAATTTTACCTAGACAATCTTAATTCTACATTTTGTTTACCATCTGTTAGCATTCGAGACATCTTATTTGCCTTACCAAATTATAATCTGTTGAACTAGCAACTTCTGGAGTCTTAATTTAAATGTTTTTTCACCGTTCCTTGACCTCTTTTTTAGTGTGTATATTTCTAAGTGTCCTTTGTCAAATCCTGTCTGTTTTTTCTTATTTGTAAAGTCTGTATGTTTTAATGTTTTTGTAAATATATAAATATTTCTATTTTTATGTAAAGATAAATGACTTGTATATACATGTAAAAATAAATTTTGTTCCTGTAATGAATAAAATCACAAATTTAATAAATAATACGAGCTTTTATTTTTATAAACATCTTAATCCTTGAAACAGCTGAATTAGGAAGCTGTTCGAGACTGCACTTGTATGTGTCTACTTACATGGGGGCTTATCGGATTCCCGGGCTCTACGTACTGATACCAGTTTTCTCCTTACTCAGTATCTTAGTAGCTGTGGAGTGGGTCTTGAAATAAGCATCTCAAGGTGATTCAGTACAGAAAGTCCATAAAACACTGAGAAATGTTTATGTATTTATTTATCGCTATGCCAGTTGAAATACGTGGGTTAAATAGCCAGCAAATATATATATATATAAATATATATATATAAATAAATATATATAAATATATATATAAATCATTCTAGAAAGATTAAAAGGATGTAGAATAAAATGTTATCTTTGAATCAGACCATTTAGGATAATAAACATCAAAATTTTTTTTTTTTAATCCTCACCCAAGGACATTTTCCATTTTTTTGTTCAGATAGAGTGGGAGAGAGAGAGAAACATCGACGTGAAAGAGACACATCAAGTGGACAAACTGCAACTGAGGTACGTGCCCTTAGCAGGAACTGAACCCAGGTCTCCAGACCACAGGCTGACACTAACCACTGAGCCAAATTGGCCAGGGCTTTTTATTTTTTTATTTTATTTTATTTGTTCAAAATATCTTAAGTGTAAAGTTGAAATACATTCTTGTTCCAGTTATAAATATGGTGCAATGATAAGAGTTTGAATTCAGATAAAAGGCAAAGACAAGGTGTGCACCTCAGATCCTCGATTATAAGGTCCTTAAGCTTTAGAGTTCTGACCTTCGTCGTAAGCGCAAGGAAGAAGATTTATTTCAAATGATTTTGTGGGTGTGTCTTGTCTACTGGAGGAAAACTTCAATAAAATTAACTTACTTTAAGCAGCTTTATTGAGGTAAAATTGACAAAATAACAAAATGTAGAATGTGACATTTTAACATACACTCATGAAGCTATCACCACAATTAAGGTAATGAACATAACATGATCCCTCAAGTTTTTTCTGCCTATTTGAAATTAGCTCCCCAGGCAATCACTGATCTGTCACTGGAGATTAGTTTGCTTTTTCTACAAAAGTGTATAAATGGGATCATAAAGTTATATTCTTTGCTTGCACTGGACATTATTTTGAGATTGATCCATTTTGTGTGGGCCAGTTCATTCCGTTTCTTAAGTAGTATACTGTTGGATAAACCAGTTTGTTCATATCTTCACTGGTTGATGGACATTCCCCCCCCCCCCCCAGTGTTTTGCTATTAGAAATAAAGGGGCTATAAACATATACAAGTCTGTAAGTGGTATGTTTTTATTTGGGGTACATAACTAGTATTGGAATGTTTGAATTAAATGGTAAATGAATATTTAACTTGACAACACCAAGCTATAATGGAATAAGACTTTCACTAGTTTAAGGAGAGGGTAAGTGTAATTTCCATGTGAATTATTGGGAGAGAAGACAGACTGGTAGCCAGCCTCTAGAATGTCTCCCAGTGACCCCCACCTCTTGGTTTTACATCTTTGTGTAAACCCCTCCTACGCTGCATCAAGTCTGGTCTATGTGAGTTACAGAGTACAGCAAAAATGATGGCATGTCATTTCTGAGTCTAGGTTATAAAAGACATTCTGATTTCTACCTCCCCTCAGACTAGTCACTAGAGGAAGGTCTGTTGTGAGCAGCCCTACAGAGAGGCCCACAGTGGGAAGAATGTAGAAGAATCGAGCCTTTCTGCTAACCCCTAAGTCTGTGAGTCTTGTAGGTAGGTCCTCCAGTAAAGTTTCAGACAACTTCAGTCTCTGCTGACATCCCAAGTACAGCCCGAGTTACCCAGCTAAACTGCTCCCAAATTCCTGACCTCTCCCCAAACTGTGAGGTAACAAATGTTTCTAGTTTTAAACCTCTGAGTTTGAGGATGATTTGTTATACAGTAATAACCTACAAAGTATGCACACCCTTCTTGGAGCACTGGGCAAGAGAGATGAGCAGAGGTTTTTCCTCACACCCATTGATTAGCTGCACTAAATAATAAGATGATCAGGTCTTCCCAGGACTCAGACATGTAATAACTTGGCCTGTAATCAATACTGACATAGGTACAGGATGATTACCCTGCAGCTACAGATTATTCCCTAAAAGAAAGAACTGACATTCCCGGCCAAAACAGATCTGGGACTGGTGTGATCACAAAAACAGACTATTTTAAGTCAGCTGTATGAGGGAGAATGAAAAACATAGATGTTAGTATTCTCATGGTTTAAAAATGACTAGTTTATTTTTCTGTATTGATTTTAGATAGAGAAGAAGGGAGAGGGGGAGAGAGAGAGAAACATCAATGAGCCCTGGCCAGTTTGGCTCAGTGGTTGGAGCATCGACCTGCGGACTAGAGAGTCCTGGGTTCGGTTCCCGCTAGGGGCACGTACCAAAAAAAAGAAACATCAGCCCTGGCCGGTTTGGCTCAGCGGTTAGAGCCTCGACCTGCGGTCCTGAGAGACCCGGGTTCGGTTCCCACTAAGGGCGCGTACCTCGGTTGCAGTTTGTCCCCGGCCCTGGTTGGTCGTGCTGGTGGCAGCCACTCGATGTGTCCCTTCACGTCGATGTTTCTCTCTCTGTTCCTCTCTCTCCCTCCCACTCTACCTGAACAAAAAAATGAGAAAATGTCCTCCGGTGAGGATAAAAAAAAAAAAAAAGAAACATCAATGAGAGAGAACATCAATTGGCCGCCTCCTGCATGCCCCCTCACTGGGGATTCGGCCTACAACCTGGGCATGTGCCCTGACTGGGAATTGAACCGGCGACCTCTTGGTGCATGGGTCAATGCTCAACCACTGAACCACACTGTCCGGGTACTCTTTTTTTTTTTTTTTTTTTTAAGACAATCACAGTACTAGTTTAAAGCTTACCAAAATAATTTTCTTTTATTCTGGCATCCAAGGAGACCTTTTATGTTTTATAGATTAAACCTAAACAAAGTTTATCTCAGAAGATGCTTTACATGGTTCATATTGTGGCAAGAATAGTGACCTACATTCAGTAAGGACCTTGGAGCTAGTCAGTAAGCAGGGTGTATCCTCACATGGTCCTTCCTGGCCACCATAACATAGTGCTGGGACCAATGAGTATTTCTGTTCAGTTGGAGCGACCTTTTGATAGCAAATGTTGCTTCATTGAGGTCTTTATTTTAATAAAAAATGTTCAGCCTTGGCCAGTTTGGCTCAGCGGTTAGAGCATCGGCCTGTGGACCGAAAGTCCCAGGTTTGGTTCCTGCTAAGGGCACGTACCTCCGTTGCAGTTTGTCCCTGTCTCCGGTTGGGGTCGTGTGGGTGGCAGCCTCTCGATGTGTGTCTCTCGCGTCCATGTCTCTTTCTCTCTCTTCTTCCCTCTCTTCCTCTCGGTCTGTCTGGAAAAAAAAAAAAAGTTCAGCATTGTATGTAGTAGGGTTTACGAATGGTGGGGATTGTCACTTATAATTGGTGTGGATTGTACTTTAGTGTTTCTGCAAAAATCTCAATGTGATCGTATGCATTGATCTTTTATGGGTGTTCTCAGTGTCTGCCTCACACATTTCGCTATAGCAAATACTGCCTTAACATCTTATCACTGAGCCTAGTGTGCCTTTCGCCAAGGCCACCTTGGAGTTTTGTCTGGTACCTAGTTATGCATTTCTGTGTCCTGTGGCTTGGAGTGTGTCATGCTCATTTCACACAGCTTGAGGACTTGCCAAAGAGACTGCATATAAGAGAAAACAACGATAGTTCCTCGACTACAGTAATTTCTTAAACTCATAGTCTTACCCTGATTGCTCGCTGACATTCCTTTTGCTACATTGGGCTTCAACAATGTAAACCACACAACGCCACAAGATGGTGCTCTCACCACACTGTGCTTTTGAGTTTGTTCATTCCTGTGAAGTTTAATATCAAAATGGATCAAATAGTATTGCTGCTTTCTGTTCAATTTGTGGGGTCAGAATATGAGATTAAGTCCACAACATAGTGTTAAGATAGATTAGTTATATGTAAACAATTTGCTTTTTGGTTGCAGGTATCAAGCACATCTTGCTTATCTTCAGCATTTTTCATCCATTGTCTATATTCAAAGTCTAGATCTGCACTGTCCCACACAGTAGCAATGTGCAGCTACGGAACATTTGAAAGGTGGTTCACCCACGTCCAACTGAGAGGTGCTATAAATGTAAAATACAGTCCAGGTATTGAAGACTTGGTATGAAAAAAACCAAAATCTCATTAATTTTGATATTGACCACTTGTTGAAATAACGATATATTAGATACAGTGGGTTAAATAAAAATCTATGAAAGTTAATTTATATTTAATTGCTCATGATTATTTTTGTATTTTAGCGTGGCAACTAGAAAAGTTTGAATTACAAATGTGGCCTGCATTAGGTTTCTATTGAACAGCATTGGTCTAAGAGCACACAACAGATAAGTACCGAGAGAAATCTTTTCTGGGCCCACACATATTATAATATAGTACCCTATTATGCAGATGTACTATACTTTCTACAAAAACAGTCGAGTTTTAGATATGGACACGAGAGGGTGTTTTCTAGAAATGAAGGACGAGAGGAGATCTACAGGAAATAGGATGCTCTCTTTCAGAACTCCCACCACTCAGGTCTTGCAGTGACTCACTCCTCATCTGACTTCTGCCCCCATCCGCACTCCCAAGCTGACAAGTAACTGCCGTTACCAGTACAGGGCAGGTCCGTGATTGCCATCATCCACAAAATGCCTAATAAACACTTGTGGAATGAATGAATAAAAGGACATTGGATGGATCTAGACTGACCTCCTCTTTGGAAGTCAACAGAGGGCAACTGAACTTGGGCTTTGTTTCCTCATCAGCAGTAGAACCTCCGGCGACCCTTTCTCAAAATCCTTCTTTCCTCGCTTTCCGCAGGAATAGCTCTCCCTTTCTTCCTATGTTTTGAGGTCCAGGGTGAATCTACAATTTGAGGTTTGTAAAATACTATTTTGCTAATGTTTTTGTTTGTTGCTTTGGTTATTAGGGCTTATTTTTTTATCCAATATCCCTTTAAAATTTAAAGTGGTTCTCAACCTTCCTAACACTGGGACCCTTTAATACAGTTCCTCATGTTGTGCTGACCCCCAGCCATGAAATTATTTTTGTCGCTACTTCATAACTGTAATTTTGCTACTGTTATGAATTGCCATAATTTGTTTACTTTGCATTTCATTTTGCTTTGTATTGTAGTTGATATAGTATTTATTTATTCTTTCTCCTCTACCCCCTAGACTTTCTCAACTGGATGATTTATCTAGCCACAGAATACAGAAAATTATTTGGGTGAATATTTTCTTCATTTTCTGAAAGATGATTCTCAACTGGTACCATTCTACATGCCTGGAAAAAGTTAATCTGTTACATATAATAGATGCCTTAGGTCTTGAAAGTTCAATTCTCTTCTGGAAGTGCATCTGAGAAAGGTCTGCGTTGCACATCACTAAGTGGTTTTTCCTGGTC